CCCCCCCCCCCCAGGTGTTGGCCGGATGGCCTAGAACAGTGGTCTTTAGCGACCTGAGTGTGGCTCGGCCATTCGGCCACAAATCGGTTTCGACTCAGAAAAACATTGTTCTTGACAAATCGTCCTGGTGCTGATTGTTGGCTCTTTTGCCTCAAAGTTTGCCGACCACTGGCCATGGAAGGGGATGCCATGCTCAGCAGATGAAAAGAAAAGGGGGGGGGGGTCGTTGGGGTGGGGGTAGAGGGTGGCACTACCGAAGACTTTGTTTGCGTAATGCATTTTAATAAGAAATTTAAAATTATTTTCTACTTTAACCGCGTTTAAACGGGTCTTTCAATGAAACATTGTTTTTTTTTAATTAAAAAAATTTAAAAATTGTTTAAAATTTCCAGAAATTGTATTTTGTGGACTAAGCTTTTGAATGTTGCTGTCAAACTAACAGCTCCACGGAAAGAAATATTATCCAGAGATTTCTTAACGTCCTCATTTGAGAGTCCTGTTAAGTTTCCAGACATAGGATTGAACAGGATGGTAATTACTTGACAAGGTCAATTCGAAACATAACACCATCTATATAAGTCTAAGTTCAGTGTATATATATTATGATTTTGCTCAATGATAATCCGATAAAAAGTGGTTGTATCCAGTGGCGCCGCTAAGGTTAGTGTCCGACGGGGGCGGAGCAAGCTTTTTGTGCTACCTTGTTTTTTCAGCGTTGTGAAAACTACTTTCCTGAATAATTATATTTTTTCGGGTGTAAAAAAGGAGGGCACTGGGAATGAGTTTATTGCGTCAAGGGGTGTGAGTGGGGGGGGGGTGTTGCCCAAAAAAGTTTGAGAATCACGTTTAGAGTTTAGAGAAATTTCTGTCTCTAGAGTAATTTTGTTTGATGGTAATCCTCTCGTTCACCATCTCGATCTATCGTACTGCATAAGATGACAACTTCTAGCTCACTGAATGAGGTAAAAGCCTCTCGAGCTTACTGAATGAGGTAAAAGCCTCCCTAGCTTACTGAATGAGGTAAAAGCCTCCCTAGCTTACTGAATGAGGTAAAAGCCTCTCTAGCTTACTGAATGAGGTAAAAGCCTCTCTAGCTTACCGAATGAGGTAAAAGCATCTCTAGCTTACTGAATGAAGTAAAAGCCTCTCTAGCTTACTGAATGAGGTAAAATCCTATCTAGCTTACTGAATGAGGTAAAAGCCTCTGTAGCTTACTGAATGAGGTAAAAACTCGTCTAGCTTACTGCATAAGGTGACAACTTGTCTAGCTTACTGCATGAGGTGACCACTTGTCTAGCTTACTGCATGAGGTGACAACTTGTCTAGTTTATTGCATGAGGTGACAACTTGTCTACCTTACTGCATGAGGTGACAACTTGTCTAGCTTACTGCATTTAATTGGCTGTCTGGCATGTTTCTGAGGTCAGGTCTAGATATTTGGGTCGGGAGTTGAAGTTTGGTGTTTTCTAACGACTACTCGCATCCAGGTGTACGTCCAGTGGAACAAAGGCGTCGGTACAACTTACTAACTACTCACATCCAGATGTACGCTCAGACGGTGTCGGTACAACTAACCAACTACTCACATCCAGGTGTACGCCCAGTGGAACAAACGATTCGGTACAACTAACTAGCTACTCACATCCAAATGTACGCTCAGTGAAACAAAGGCGTCGGTACAACTTACTAACTACTCACATCCAGATGTACGCTCAGACGGTGTCGGTACAACTAACCAACTACTCGCATCCACGTGTACGCCCAGTGGAACAAAGGCGTCGGTACAACTTACTAACTACTCACATCCAGATGTACGCTCAGACGGTGTCGGTACAACTAACCAACTACTCACATCAAGGTGTACGCCCAGTGGAACAAACGATTCGGTACAACTAACTAGCTACTCACATCCAAATGTACGCTCAGTGGAACAAAGGCGTCGGTACAACTAACTAACTACTCACATCCAGGTGTACGCCCAGTGGAACAAACGATTCGGTACAACTAACTACTCACATCCAGGTGTACGCCCAGTGGAACAAACGATTCGGTACAACTAACTACCCACATCCAGATGTACGCCCAGTGGAACAACCGAGTCGGTACAACTAACTAACTACTCACATCCAGGTGTACGCCCAGTGGACCAAACGAGTCGGTACCACTAACTAACTACTCAC